GTATACTGTTGTTTTTGTTTAAAATTCCTATAGTATTATAGTACCCAGAATCATTTTAGAATTTATATCTACGGATTACAATCATAAATGTTATAATAACAAAATCATAGTTTTTACTAATAAAAAGTATCATCTCAAAATAAACTATCGCAATAAAAGTCTAAAATTGAACGAAAACAGGCACATTTCTAAAGGTAGATTTTGTTTATTTTCACGTTACCTCTCACTTCCGGTGTCACAAGCTGAATTTTTCAGGGATGGAAGTACAGTACATGGTATGGGGGACCCTTATTCCGAAAGTAGTACAAAAATTTAGAACTAAAGGGGCGCTAAACTGATTTTATCTAATTCTCAAAGCCACAAAATCCTCGATATCACTTTAATTGCGAAAAACTTTAACTACCTCTTATCTCGACTATATTAACAATCATAAAAACAATTGCTTCGACATATCACATAAATGCTTTTCATAAAAATAACATTTATGTTAGTCTTTTACCATTAGACCAACACTTTTTGTCATTTATAAGAAAACTGTATTTTTGGGATTATGCCTCTTTAGTACTAAGGGTGCGATAATATGTCATAATATTTGAATTTTAAATATGTATGTAATATAATTTAAATTAATATAATGCAACTTTATACTAAGAAAACATTTATACATTCACAAAATACAACAAAGTCTAATAATATAGTTTGAAAACAATGAATATTTAGATAAAATTATAAAAGTTAAGCGCGACCCCTTGTGTCAAAATTAGATGATTACATTTTCGCAATTTTTACACCATTTGATGACCGGTGGCGCCTCTAGTGTTTGTTCGGGTGTTGGTTTTTTACTCCCACTTATGGCCATTAAAGAAAAAGTTCTAAAGGGGGATGTTTTGTGATTATGTATTGTCCTTGGTATTGTCATTTTGACAAAAATGCATTCCACATAAAATAATTTTGCTCGTTCTAAAATGATTAATCCCGTTTATACTTTTCCAAATTTCCATGCCGTTCAAGTTAGAAAAATCAAAACGCGGTTCTATGGTAATATAATTTCGTTTTAATTCTTACATAGATAGCTATTGATAGAATTTTAATTATAATCGTATTTTTTGCTGGTTTATAATATTAAAGGACAAAAACCATCTATCAAAAATGATATCGAAATTATATTACCATAGCCTTTTGACTTACAGGACGAAAAAAATTAACAATATTTTTAAAAAAACGATATGGAAATTTGGACAAGTATAAACAGGATTATAACCATTTTAATAAGCAAAATTTTTTATGCTTGCATTTTTCTCAAAATGTCAATAATCGAAAAGTTTTTCCTCTTGCAAAGGCAAACCGGGGACAGACCAACGGGAATATGTAGATAATGATCTCCTATTTAACCCCTCAAAAGTCCCATTCGGTTCCAGTGGGGAAAGTTTGAAAAAAATGGCCGCCATCTTTGATTTTTTCGTTTTTTTCAAATATCTTCGTTTGCATAACTTTTTTAAGAAAAAACTAAAGATATGTTTTTTTTGTAGAGAACTAAATTTAGAATATTTTACCTTGAATAATTTTTTCTTCTAAAATGAATAGTAATAGAGATAGAGCATTTTTTTACTATACGGTTCATAAATTTTCCAGTTTTTTTAAACCAATCCGCTATAATTTTTGCGTTAACAGTATAGTGATATAATAGATAAACCAAGTATAAATTTAAGCATAAAAACAATTAAAAATAACGTTTAAATATTATTTATTAAATAAAATTATTGTGAATTTTTTTATTAAATTAAAGGTATTAAATAAAAAATCTACTATGACGTCATCCTGAGCGTCATTTTAGCCTCAACTAAAATACAAAAGTCTGTGCAACTGATTTCGTAGCAATGACCACACTTTAAAGAACATGCAAAACCCAGTTTTCTACAAGAGCAATTTTTAGAACACTGACTCTCTTTGCAACTGCAATAAAATAATTTTAGTAGATCAGGCGGCGCCACATCTTCTGTTGATTGAATAGGTGTCAGATTGCCTTTTTGATCTTTCTTCCATCCATATTGTAAAGGATCGAACTTGTTACCAATCCATTCTTGAATCTAAAAAATACAACTTATAACATTTCCTATAATAGATATATCTTTACAGTTACCTGAAAGTATGTCCTGAGTAAATGGAGTTTTGCAGAGTTCTCAGTTGGAGGCAAATTAGCTAAATTAAAGGTGGTCTCTACAAAAAACATATCTTTAGTTTTCTCGAAAAAAGTTATGCAAACGGAGATATTTGAAAAAAAAACGAAAAAATCCAAGATGGCAGCGGTTTTTTTCAAACTTTCCCCACTGGGACCGAATGGGACTTTTAAGAGGTTAAATAGGAGACCATTATCTACACATTCCCGTTGAGATCGGTTGGTTACTAATTTTTTCCACCTCAACCTCCAGATTGACTGACCTATTATTGAGGAATATACATGTAGAAGAAAAAGTATTTTTCACTAACGAGAAAGAGAACGCACAAATTCACATTTTTTTCTATTTTTACTGACAGTTGTATCTATTTTTAGGTTAGTTCGATAAAGAAAATGATCCTTTAAGGTAGCCGTCTTTGAATCGGTTAGCACAAAAAATGGGCAATCGGTAAAAGAGCTAAGCGCATCAAGCGAGAATACCCAAATCGGTAATCAAATGCGAGCTAAGCGAAAATTTACATCATATGCGCTAAGCATCTATGCTTCGTACTACGTGGGCGGCAAAAGTAATGTTGGGAAAATTCGAATTAAATAATACGACTAATTCGATAGTAAATTAAAACTAACTAATTCGAATTATCTTTTTCGATATAATCGAGATAAAAATTAGTAGTATTTTATATTATATCTGTGATAACCGAATTACAAATGAAATGAACATAAAACATAACCTCTGATGGACGAATACGAATATTAGTAATTAGTATAGTACTATTAGTAGTATTCTTTCGTTCTGAACGAACTGAAATTTTTCACTTAAACTGATTTATAAAGGGAATCGACAAAGAAAGGAACGATCCGATATAGAAAAATCCAGAAATCATTGTTATTTCCTATACCACGTAGCAATAAATCAGTTTAAGTGAAAATTTTCATTTCGTTCAGAACGAAAGAATACTACTATTATTTGGTTCATTTCCATCTCACCCAAATTTCACCGAACACCTGCCGAACACTAAAATTAATTTTCTTCTTTTATCTAAATAATTATTGATTGCAACTGATAAAATAAAAAGAAGTACGAACCGCACGTAAACAAGGACATACTTATATCGTTTTAGAAGCTTTTATTTTAGATATGAGCTTTTCAATAGGAATTGAAACAATCATAAACTCGGCACTTTTAAATTTAAAATTTTAAATTATGGTTTAATTTATTAAACGGCCTCAGCACAGTTAATAGAATGCATTGAATAAAGAATTTTTTTTTATTTTTATTCAGTGATAGAATATAGGTATGGCAATGGTTCAGAATTTGTTTAAAATAGCCCCTAGACGAGCACTAGCTGGGACGAATTTATTTTTAGGTTAAATTTATAATACTACTAAATAATTCGAATTATTAATTCGATTGTGAAATATGAATTATTACTAATTATTCGATGATGAAAATAATTCGATTATTCCCATCACTAGGCAAAGTGAGCGGGCGACGCGTGCGACAATAGAGAGCGATGAGCGCAATCATCTTCGATGCCGCTTCAGTCGCGCGACTTTGCGCGTATCTCCTACCTAGGACAGCTTCGTAAGAAAATGTTGTTTGATAAATACGCGTCGCTCGCACCGCCCGAATAGCGCGCTTTTTAACCACGTAGGACGAAGCGTAAAAGTACTTAGCGCTTTCTATGTTACAGAATTCGGGCCCAGAGCCGATCGTTACAGTATCTGACTGAAAATTTGAAAAAAACATAAAATTTTAAAATGAAGCTATTCAAAACAGTCGAAATGACGTAAACCAGAGAGTTTAACTAATTAAAAACAGTCGAAATGAAGTAAACCAGAGAGTTTAACTAATTAAAAACTTCTAAACTAATTAAACTTCAAAATTTGCGACGAATGTCATTTTGGCCTTTGATTATCATCCGTCAAGTGAAATTGTGGTTAGAAATCAAAATTGTACTATATTCTCTCAATTTTAATTGTATTTTTGAGACATTGTAAATTTTTAAGTATAAGCCATACCAATTAAACATTTAGTTACGTAATCGAGGGCGCGATTTTTAAACTCATTGTTGCCAACCATTGGACAGATTCGGCACCGTGCTGACTAACTGGAATTTAAATTTCCCGTTGGGGATTCAGGTGGTAACTCTGCTGTAAAAATGGCAAGTTGCCACATTCATTTATTTATTTTCTGACATTTTAGTTTTGTATTACGAGTTTTTGGTTCAAACGAATTGTGTTGTGATATTTTCAGCTTATTTTTTTTTATTAGAAGACCTTACAGTTGAATATTGTTCTTTTTAGAACCTCTTTTAGTGCAACTACTTTCGCAACCTCTTTAGTGTATAAGATAGCTGAATAGCCGTAAAAAAATCATCGCAACCTTATTAGAATAATATTTTAACAGAAAAGCGGTAGTAACAACCCTTAATGTCCCTGTGCTGTTAAAGAGGTGAGTTTTATTGATGTAAATAATAACTGTTTATAATTAATTTAATGTTGTTTCCTAAAATATTTTGATTAAAAGAAAATATGTAAAAGTGGGCAACGCTGTCCCGGTCAAGCGTACCTAAAAGTTTAATTGGTATGAACTATATATAAAGTGTAATTGAAACCACTAATTTCGATGTTCCAATTAAGGCTTAACACTGTTAAGATATTTAATAAAATTTATATTAATATTAATACTAGCAAGAATATATTTATTTTTTATTCCCATTCCAACGTATTGCAGACACGGTTTGTGTAGACGAAACTCTTTTATTAAAATGCTACCTGTATCTCCGCTTTACTTATCCTGCTTCTTTAATTAAATTTTCAGGAGCAACCGCGGCGACTACGAGCGCAACAGCCAGTACAGCCCCGAAAGTTTCAGGGAGCAGGAGAGCTGCCGCACCCGCTACGAGGTCCAGGAGTCCGAGCTGGACGTGACGAGGGAGAAACGGACGCAAAAATACCTGGGATCCATTATCACGATGTACGCCATCTGCGTGCTGCCCCTCATGGTCATGCGGCTGGCTAGGTGAGCAATTATTCAAATGAGACGACAGAATGCCCTACGGTATTACAATGAATTCGGTAAACTAATACACTATACTAAGAGACATACAGTACGTCTGTCCGTACTGTAGCTACGGGGTATCCGTGAGAGGGGAAACGATATTCTCTCGATGTTTTTCGTAAAAAAATAGACGAAGCGTCCCATCAATAAAAATTCAACAAATTTGCAAGTAGCCAATAAAATGAGTGGGCGGAGCGATTTGCGGTGACGCACTCGTCAAATCGACGTATAAAATATATTGCTGTTTGTTTAAATGTTTTTTGTCCGCATTCCTTTCATAGACACAGATCCAGCAGATGTACTGTACCGTGTGGTGCATCGAAACACGGGACATAGAAAATCCCATGTAAATTTTGAAAAGGTCAAATACAGGGTGAGTTTTCTACGATGTTCTCTATGGATATCTCGGAAACTACTGGAGATAGAGAATCGGTTAAACGAGGAAAGAATTGCAGTTTTGTGGGGTCATAAATATGCGCCTTTCAGATTTTTAAAAAAGTTCATGGCTTACTAAATATTTCGAAAAAAACAAATTTCGGCTATTTTAAAAAGTGTCCCTAATTCTATTATAATCTATTTTAGACAAAAAGTTTTCAGATAAAAGTTGTAGATAATCACATCCTTAATGAGATTGAGTTGTCCGTTTTTTTCTAAAGCTTGCCGTTTTTCACATATGACACAAACATAGTTTTTTTTTTAAATGGAAACCATAGTCGGCCATGACTTCATAAAAATCTCAATTTTTTAAGCTTTTCAGCGATATAAGCTATAATATGTTTTTTTCGAAAAATTACTGAGTTATGGCCAATTAATATCTTTCTTGACTAATTTCACTTAGTTGGTATGGTATTCTTATTTTTTTATGATTTATAACTTATAAAAATACACAATTTTTAATTAAACGGTTCTTTACAATTTTCATTACACAAACTAAAACTTAAAAAAATAATATCACTACATACACTTAAAGTTATTTTAGAAAATGTTCAAAAAGCCGCCATTGTTTTGAGTACATAAATGCCTCTTTTTAAAACTGAATTACCTATTAGCTTTTCTCACAGAACGACCGGTCGCCTTTATTAACCTTCTCCCATACTGCCTCTTCGAGTGCCTCTCTTAATTCATAAGTTCTTTTATAAACCTTGTTGTTAACTATACCGCATAAAAAAAAATCTAAAATGGATAGATCAGGTGGCCAAGGAGGCTTATGCTATTGGCCCACGTCTTCATATCCCTGATTTTGCATAATTATGATATAAATAATTTTTAACATTTCTTTTATTATGGGAGGGAGTGTCATAATGAAAGTTACTGTATTGATGCGAGTGTCTTTAAATTTAACTTTTCTAACATGTCTTAAAAACTGTTCTCTAAAAAGCGTAACAACTGATATTACAAGGAAAAATTCAAGGAAAGAGAAGTGTAGGAAGAAGGCGCCACTCATGGATGAGAAACTTACGTGACTGGTTCGGGTGCACCACAAACCAAATATTTCGGTCGGCTGTGTCACGAATACGTATAGCACTGATGATTGCCAACCTTCGCAACGAAGAAGGCATTTGAAGAAGAAGAAGAAAAAGCATAAGTAACGTTCACCGGCCAACGTATCCTCGAAAATGTATGGCCAAGAAAAGTTGAACCAATAATCCTACGCGCTTCTCTTCATTTGAAAAATTCATATTTACAATTTGTGTTTACTTTAATTTATAAAGTATGCATGTAACAGTTTGACATTTCTGAGAGCAACGACGATTGAACTTGTTTCCATGGCTAACTAAGTGAAATTGTTTAAAATTGATACGAATTGGCTATAACTCAGTAATTTTTCGAAAAAAAAACATATTATAGCTTATATCGCTGAAAAAATTAAAAAACGGCGTTTTTTATGAAGTCATGATCAACTATGATTTCCATTTAAAAAAAACATATGTTTGTGTTATATGTCAAAAATTACAGACTTTAGAAAAAAATGAAGAGCACAATTTCATTAAGGATGTGATTATCTACAACTTTTATCTGAAAACTTTTTGTCTAAAATAGATTATAATGGAATTAGGGACAATTTTTAAAATAACCGAAATTTGTTTTTTTTTCTGAATCTCAAATTTTTTAATTAGCACACCCTATATAGGTATTATCCGAGATATTATCATTTTTTCTGATAGATTTTACAAAATTCTTTACAAATGTAGAAAATAAAGATGTAGATTAAAAAATATACAATGAATAAAATTTAATTTTTTTGTCGAGATTTAAAAATCTGAACGTATAGCTTATAAACATACAAAATGTGGATAACTTAGGAGGAGGCAACATTGCATCCTCTGTGCAAGCACTAGAAACAAATTTCCGGAAACTGAACAAACAGCGCTCAAAAGTTTTTCAATAGTTTCCGGAAAATGTCAAGAAAAATATAAAATTTTCAACATTTTTTTTTCACAAAGAAAAGTGTCTGGGATCGAATTATTCTACCAGTTAACGTACTTGCACTTATTTCTGGGACTCCCAGTATAGGACAGTGGAAATCTTAGCATATCGAAGTATAACAATGAAGACACACTGTTCCAAACTACTCAACATCTACAACATCCGCTCATCTATATGATGTTCCAAACAATAAACTCTTAAATGAAAGTTACACATTAAATTTTTGTTTAAAAATACGACCAGTGTTGGAACTTTTTTATGATAATACCTGTTATCTGTGTACCTACCAAATATTTTCCTGTTTTTAAAAAATATTTGCTTAAGGCGTATTTCAAACTTTTTTTTTTTTTTATATTCAAAATATTTGCTTTCTCATAAAACTTCTGTAAGTATATCTTTTACCTTTCCGTCGGAAGAACGCTTCGCCCTAACAACTTGAAAATTGTCCTTTAGGGAACATCAAAAATAAAGAGAAAGAATGTTTCAGACGTCTCTTTATTTAGCTTCTCCTGGCAAAGGACAGATAAGCATACAGACGAGAAAATATGACATACATTTTTTTTATTCAGAAATGTGTTTTTTCCATTTCGGCATCTCAGATATGTTTTAATTTATTTTGGTATTGATATTTGGCATTGCCTAAAATATTTTACACTGTTGGAGATTTTGAGATATATTGAAAAAAGTTTGTTTTAAGTTTCTCAGTAACTCTTATACTGGATAAACATACCTGCATCTTTACAATTTGCTAATTAAGTAAAAAAAGTTAGTACATATATTGTTTGCTATACAGAAAACCAAAAATGTTAAATTTGCTTAGTAAGAGTAAGATGTTAAAAAAGTGCGAGTCGGACTCGGAATTTAAAAAAAATGAAGAAACACATTACTAAAAATTGTATTAAGCAATAATAAATATGTAAAGAGTAAAAATAAATATGTAAAAATTAAAAATAACGATTAAAAAAAGTCGCATTGACTAGGATTCGAACCTGCCTTACTACGGCTCCAACCTCAAAGCAGCGTAAAGTCCTAACGTTTTAACCACGCGGCCATCGGGGACTTGAAAGATTCTTTGTAAAATTCTTACTTAAAAGATAATGTTGAAATAATAGTGAAAGTACTTTTTTATTTATAAACATTTATTTAATTCTGTTTTTAGTATTTGTTCTTATAGCGGCAACATAGATACATTATCTATAAAAATTTCAACTCTCTAGCTATATAACAGTTAATAAGATAGACCTTTGTGACAGACGGACGGACGGACGGACAGCCGAAGTCTTAGTAATAGGGTTCCCGTTTTTACCCTTTTTTTATTTTTTGTTCAATTTTTAATTTAATTGTTTTTTGTAAACAATTGAATTTACTTTCATTTTGTATAGAACATTTTTTTCGCTAGGATGTTTAGTTTTCGAGATAATAACGAAAAATATATAAATCGGCCCTTTTCACCCCTTCCCCCTCCCCCCACGGCTAACCAACAAGGTCTATGGCTGGGGACTTTTGGTATTGGCTAAGGGTCAACCCTACCACTTAAAACAATAATTTCTTTGACACTATTTTTTTCCGAATTGCGGTATTTTTTGGTGCCCGTTTCCTGGCCTATAACCATTTCTAATTATCGGGTAGCTTCCATCACATATTTAGATACTCTCTTTTAGTTGGGCTCATTGTTGTCTATTGTTGGCTATGCGAGCCCAAGTTATCCCTGCTAATATCCTAATAGCATGGTCCCATTTTAGGTTGGGTCTTCTTCTAGGTGTCTTAATTCCTCGTGCGTACGATGCTGTAATTTTGGTGGTCCATCTGTTGTCCGTCTTTCTTGCTAGGTATCCTGCCCATATTGCCATTTGAGAAATTTGATTCTGTAGATGACATCTATTACCTAGGTTTTTTGTCGTATCCACTCTATTCTTTTATGGTCTTTCTTGATTGTTCCCAGAATATATTTCGTTCCATTGAACGTTGTGCGACCTGCAGTTTCCTTATGATGTCCATTTTAAGTGTCTAGGTTTCGCATGCATAGGTCATTACTGGTAATATACATTGATCGAATGTCTTCTCCTTTAGATAAAGTGGCATTCTAGATTAGATTTGAATATAATTGAATTTATTCCATAAGTATTCCATGCTAACTTCATTCTTCCGGTAGTAGCGATCCTGAATGTGTATTAGTTGTTGATATATCTGTATATTGTTCTACTATTTTGCAGTGTTGTGTTATTTACTGTCTACTATTTTTTTCTGTCTTTTCGTTCGTTGTACATTACTTTAGTTTTTGCTAATTCATTTTGAGTTAGGTTAAGTTGTAGTAGTACCTATCTTACTGCGAGCTTCTATTATTTAGTTCGTTCATTTGTGCTTGTGAGTGTGAGTTCTTCAGAACTAGTGGCAATTAGGACTATATCATTAGCGAATCTTAGATGGTTAAAATATTCTCCATCTATTTTTAATCCTTTGTTGGTACAGAAAGAATAAGTAAATATGACATTAAATTAAAAATAAATGTCACTACTTTTCTACCAATTTAGATATATCGCTCCTTTATTAAATTTAAATTATTTTAAACCTGATATTTTAGGTTCTATGTTAATATTTTTCTTTATTTTCAGATTGGCTTTAGTTGAGACGTATGAGAATAGTCGCCATTTCGACTACACTTATGTCCTATTTGTGTGGCTGGCATTCCTACCAACTTGTCTAACTCCACCTATGTTTGCTTGTTGGCAAATGAGCCGGTAAGTAATATAAAGGACAAAGGACGGTCCACACTTGCTATATAACACTGCTATATAGCAAAGTTATATAACATGTTACATATTTTTTAGTCATATTTAGCAAATTTCGCTGCTATATAACTTGCTAGATGTTATCCATTTGTAGTCGGTAAAGATCAAAAGATGTTGTTCAACACTGGTACTGTAACATGAAACAATGCGTCCAGACTTGCTAAATTTCTAGTTTAGCCGCTCATATTTTCAGGGACGTGCGCGACAGAATCTTAGTATGGTGAGCTGATATTGGGTTTGTTTATTTACTGGTCAATAATATCGTATGATCGAAAAAAAAACTGCGTCCAGTCGGCCTCCCGTCCAGTTGGCTTGGACATGACGATCGATGACATTCCCAATATAATTTTTCATATAAAATGACAGCGATCTTCATTTCATAACCATCGCTGACGCCATTTTTTTTCGATCGTATGGTTCTTATACATAGAGAAAGATAGTAAAAAGCTTGAACTTATAGTAAAGTAAAACTTTTTATTACTTTCTCTATGTTCTTATATTGTTAATGGAGTAGAGCCAAGAGCAGACTTGTCAACTAATTAAGTTGTAGGTATAAAGATCATACAGTGTTATGGGATATCCGTAGTCCCTCATTTAAAGTGAAATAAAGAAAAAAGCATGATGCATGGTTAAAAATTGCAAAAAGTATGTATTTAGAAAGATAAAAAGTTGAGAAAAAAATGCGTTATCCAAAAGGCAGTTCCAGAGGGAACAAAAGAAATGCAAATCAGGTACTGGTTTAAACGAAGTGGATAATTCAAAATGATTTGCTTTTAAGTTATTAATGTTTTTAAAAAACAGAAACACACCACGAGAAACAGCCGAGGCAGGTATTGAAAAGGTAAGCTAATTGAGTTCAACTACATATAGATCTATTTTGTAGGCTATGGCGGACTCAAAACCGCTTTTTTTCTCGACTTTCTTCCTCTTTCTTCAAAAATAATTACGCACGCCGCTGCTGCTAGCAGAACCTCTTTCTCGCCAAAACGATTCATGATTACGAAAACTATAATGTGGATGTCTCCCGGTTTTTTAGCATGTGATATGTAGCTTGTTAAATAGCAATGTTATATAACAAGTTACTAAATGTGGACCCTCCTTAAGACTCTAATTACAGCTAAAAAACTAATCTAGGATTCACAAAATGAACCTTTTTTTTCTTATTATAATGGGCAACGGCCCAGCTACGTTGAAACACCGGTTCCCGATAGATCACCGAAGTTAAGCGATGTTAGGCGATGAGAGTGAATGGATGGGTGTAGCGTCTGGAAACTCTGTCGTGCTGTTGTTTCATGGCAATAATGTAAAATCTAGTGACACACACTGCTCATTCACGCGAGTTCGTGGCGGGATGAGATATTAGCAAAAAAAGTATCTCGCTTCAACAAGGCTTCATTGTTGTAGCCAGGTCAGCTAATATCAAATATTTTTACATGGTATATTGAAAAGATAAAATAATTGTAGAATGACAAAATTTGACTGCTAGATAAAAAATATTACATTAAACTTCTTAAATTTTCAAACAACATTTAGCAGACACTTTTCAACATTTCAAATGGGAAGTGTCAAATTTGTCAGTCAACGCAACGTAAATATAATGCTGGACTTATTACATTTTGATTTTTAGACAAGGAAAATCTAACTGCTTTACCTAATAATTTTACCTACTTTACAAGTAGTGTAAAATGAGACAATTTGAATGAGGCACGCAGCCTAAACGAGAAACACCAAAACTATTGAAAACTTATATTCAGTCAGTTTTCTTGATAGGAACATTTAACAATAATTGTTGAGAGATCATCCCCATAATTTGTTTAATCTTGTCTGATGAATCATTGAAATTACAAATTCATTGTTTCAATAAATTTTGTGAAATATTTAATTCGTTAATTGATATAATTATTGTATTTCTTTCACTGTTAACATTTTAATATATATCTCATTTCTCTTCATTTATCATATATTTCTCTTCATTTTCAATTTATAATTTTTTGCGACACTCTAATTTTGATTTGAACTATATGCAAATGTTCTTTATTAGTTTATTATTTTTTGACTTCTAATAAAAAAAATTGTGTGTACACTATGTGCGCATATTTGAAGTGAAACTTACTTCCGTCTACGGAGTACGGTCCATTCAGGTACATCTATCCACATACCGAGTTTGGTTCCAATCGACCTATAATTAAAAACAATCCTGATTATTTCGCCCATTTAGAGGCATCGCATCGGTTCGAATTGGATGGGACCCTGTGCACCACACCAAATTTGGTGGCGTTCGGACGACTACAACTTTTGATGTTTCTTACGCCAAACCTATCACAGTGACATGTGTCGTACACGAAAAAGTTGGCCTTGGTCCAATCTATCGACATACCAAATTTCATTTAATTCGACAGATTTTTTAATTTGATTCATTGATGATGGGGTTTCGTAGTGCACGAAACGTCGTCAAAATATCATGAAAATTGACATATACATTCCGTATTTCAGCCCCCTAGCTCACATAGGGTCCGAGTTACGACGCTCCAAGATAAATAAGTCAACGTTACCACTTTTCCTCTCGCGTCTCTTGTGTCCCGACCGTGTCACGGCCTTCAATTTTTACTCCCATCGCGCGTAAAGAAGTTTCTATTCAAAAATATGTGTCTATTCAAAAATATGTGTCTCTAGTTTAATCCTTCTACTATATATACTATATTTACTTCAACATATAATATAAATTACAGTTAAGGGTTGGAACCTTTGGTGTTACACAGCAAAATAAAAACACTATCACCAAATATATAAATATATAAACTAGAAACTGAGTTTATAATCATCTGCTGATTATGCTAACATGGTTAGCGAAACGCGCGTCCAGTGTAAACGTAAAAGTGTGTTGGTGTATCGTGGTGATTTAGTGTTTTTATATGATATATATGATAAACAATAATAGAGCCTTCAAAAGTACCGGGTGGCCAATTAAGAACGGACGCCGGCTGTATCTCAGAAACTACTTATCGTACAACTTTGGGAAAAGAATTCTAATAAGTAAATAGACCAAGAGAAATCGCTGGAAATTATTTTCAAGTTCGAAAAATGCCCGCTAGGGAGCGTTTCTCTAATAGCCAAACAGAAAACAGTTTTTTTTTCAAAAATATGCAGGTGAACAGATATTTTAAATATTACTATTGTAATCATCGAGAAATTTGTAATTTTTTTGATATAGAGTATTTTGCTCTATCTCATAAAATAAAGTGGTGGGGGAAGGGTAAATTTGCTTTTATTAAAATAAGGATAACTCTGGTTTAGGTTATGCGATTTAAACAGACTAGGGCTCGTTTAAAAGAGCTTTTCGTCCTTAATGATCTCTTGTTTCCACAGTTTTTTTTCGTGGTAGCTAGAGGGCGCTGTTTGACATCATAACAGATATTGCGCTTTTGCGTAAAAAATTGAAATATAAGGCTATATTTCTCTTTACACAGTTAAATAGAGCATAAAATTTTCAAAATATAAACGCACACCGCAACTTTCTATCTTCTCTCTAACCGGAGATATTAAGAGAACAAGTCATGTTAGGCTGTCGCTTAGGATTATATGGTCTAAAAATTATAGTAGTAGGCTAGGAAACAAAAAGAGGTAAATTGGTTACGTCAAAATATCAAATCATATATTATAATTTCATTTTAATACCATTTAATTATTATTTATCCATGTTCGTTCTTGATTCGTCAACATAAATTAAAACCCAGGCATATTAAATCGGATGACCCAGCTGGCCATGGAAATATGCCGCTCCAGCGTCTCTATCTACTAAAGTAAGTGGTATCCAAGAAGCCCCACACACTCATAGCAAAATAAGCGGCACCACTGCTTCAACTACACCAACTGCATTCATGCTGATGAAATTGCAACAAATGAAATTTCATCTTAATTCATTCCTCTAACAAAATTGGCAATTCATTTCTTAGAAATTATGGATAGTTCATTTCATTCAGATAATTAAAAAAGTCCAATCATTCGCCATCCTAGAATTCCTGCGTAAACATTTACCGACCAACGGTCTTGGTGCTAAACTACTTGCATCAAGGGTAGATTTGGACCAGATATTGTTAAGATTCGCACCTTCGTTCGGTGCTATATGAAAAGTGACCCAAACGATATAAACTTTATAATATAATAACAAATAACACAAAAAACAAGTAAATCACGAAAACAAGTGAAATCAAGGACGAACTTGGATTAATAACTAAATGACGTTACATGAAATAAACCCCTAGTTTTCGACAATACGAAATTCGGCCGTTTTCTGTTAAAAGCAATAATGGCGGCACAAAATTCTTAGAAATTTTAATAAAATTATTGATTGTCCGACTTTCGGACATTTTCATCTGGCAACTACTTACGTATAATTAACCAAAAAATTCGTAAAAATTATATGGATGGATGATAATATTACATAAACACGTTTAAATAATTAGGACGTCATTTCTTTAAAGAAAACGCCCGAAATTCGGATGCATGAAAACTGAACTTAAACGTTTTGATATTTTGACGTAGGTAACCAATTTACCTTTTTTTGTTTCCTAGCCTACTACTATAATTTTTAGACCATATAATCCTAAGCGGCAGCTTAACATGATTTGTTCTCTTAATATCTCCAGTTAGAGAGAAGATAGAGAGTTGCGGTTTGCGCTGATATTTTGCAAATTTTGTGCTCTATTTAACTGTGCAAAAAGAAGTATAGCCTCCTATTTAAATTTTTTAAGCAAAAGCGCAATATTTGTTATAATGTCAAACAGCGCCCTCTAGCAACCACGAAAAAAATTGTGGAAACAAAATTTATACTGGAGATCATTAAGGAAGGAAAAGCTCTTTGAACGAGCCCTAGTTTGTTTAAATCGCATAACCTAAACCAGAGTTATCCTATAAATAAAAAAAGCAAAAAAATATAAAAGCAAGTTTAACCTT